AAATTCGGAATAAGAATTTTGATATACTATTGAGATTTTTAAATTTGAGCTTTACTGTCAAGCAAGTAAAATAAATGGAAATGTTGACCAATGCCGTACTTCAGAATTTTATTGAATCATTTGGAACAATCCTATAAAACTTCCTGAAAGTGGAGGCTATCAGCCTCTTCAGGTGAAAGGAAACAGAAGCCTATGCTTTCTCTGTATGCATGGAAAGCAGTTTCTGGGAGATACGGAATCATGTGACTTTCAGGACCAAGAGACATAGTGGTTAGAAGAACAAGCTTTGCAGCCAGACAGATCTGAGGCTGTGTCCTGACTCTGCCACTTACGCTGCTGTGCACTTGGACAAGCCACTGATCCTCTCTTGAGTCTACATGTTCTTTCCTACCAGCAGATAGGTAGTAATATCTACATCATGAAGTTCATGTGCAGATTAAGTGTGAAAATATTATCAAGTCTTTGGCAGAATGCCTGGAAGACATGGGGAGCCCTCACTAAATATTACTAAATTACTGAAACTATTACCTTTATTTCTTATTGTTGTTGTCAATATTATCACCAAGCAAGGGTGTGTTGGAGAGCTCTGTCAGCTTTATAACACCAGGTTCTTTTTCTGAGGCCTTAACAAGTATTTGCTAAACAGGTTCAAGTAAGTTTAGTCGAGCAAGGTTTCATTAGCACCATTGATTGAATTACCAAATGTATATATAAAGAATTCTTTAGATGCATGGTTTTTATTAACAAAATCCAATGCCTTTCTTTTTTTCACTCCTTCAGTTCAACATCTTATCTATAAAGATTGCTCTGAATACTACACAATAGGCAAAAGAAGCAGTGAGATCTACAGAGTTACACCGGATCCCAAAAACAGTAGTTTCGAAGTTTACTGCGACATGGAGACAATGGGGGGAGGCTGGACAGTGCTGCAGGCGCGTCTTGATGGGAGCACCAACTTCACTAGAACATGGAAAGACTACAAAGTAGGCTTTGGAAACCTCAGAAGAGAATTTTGGCTGGGGAATGATAAAATTCACCTTCTGACCAAGAGCAGGGACATGATTCTAAGAATAGATCTTGAAGATTTTAACGGCATCAAACTCTATGCCTTGTACGATCACTTCTATGTGGCCAACGAGTTTCTCAAATACCGTCTACACATTGGTAACTATAACGGCACAGCTGGAGATGCCTTACGTTTCAGTAAACATTACAACCATGATCTGAAGTTTTTCACCACCCCAGATAAAGACAATGATCGATATCCCTCTGGAAACTGTGGGCGCTACTACAGTTCAGGCTGGTGGTTTGATGCATGTCTTTCTGCAAACTTAAATGGCAAATATTATCACCAAAAATACAGAGGTGTCCGTAACGGGATTTTCTGGGGCACCTGGCCTGGTAATAGTGAGGCACAACCTGGTGGCTACAAGTCCTCCTTCAAAGAGGCCAAAATGATGATCAGACCCAAGCATTTTAAGCCATAAATCACTAATGCTCATTCCTGTCGGTATTCATTACCTAATAGGGCAATTATTCCTTCAGCACTTTGGTACATGTTTCATACTTCTTTTCCATGGCATGAAATTTATCTCTGAGCAACAGGTTCTTATGCGACACAGCATTTGAAATAAAGCTGAAAAATATGCCTTATAAAGAAGTCCTTTCTTGCTGTTATGCTGTCATCCAAAAT